GTTGGATAGGATTGTATTTATATTTCCTAAAATGCTCAATGTTGTGTGTTTCTCACATGTCCTTGACAATGTTGGGAATCATCTTGTCATTCCAACTCTTCTAGAGTTCGGTAGCATATGGATTCACCAGTTCCACCATAGCTACAAGACAAAGCTGTAGTGGAAGGATCTGACTGGCAAAAGACCAACATCATACAGTGAGATGAGATGGTGGTCAAAGTGGGAAGTCTATCAACAAATATTAATGCAGTTTGCAGATATTGAGCGATTCTTGATTGAAGCAGAAGCCACTAATGTCGGTCCTCAGTTACTCCCTCAACTTCAAGCAATATTTTCTGTATCTGCAGTGAAGAAAGTACTGCTGGTACAGCCATCCTTGGCTGCAGCAGAAAGGGTATTCTCTATTCTCAATTCCTCATTCAACGATCAACAAGAGCACACCTTAGTTTACTATCTGCAAGCAAGTGTGATGACCCAATACAAGCAATGATTAACTTCTACTATGGGTAATGATGACCCAATAACAAGCGATGATTAACTTCTAGTATCAGAAAACCTCAAACGTTGTGTTGGACTTATGGAAAAAAAAACATTGATCATGACATTTTGTTGTTGAAAAATGTAACTGAAAATCTGAAAAATGTAATATTCTATGTTTAAGAAAATCGGAAAAAAAGTGGGCATTTTTATGTAAACCACGAGCACTTTTCAAAAAAACTAGCACTTTTTTAGCACTTTTTTGGCAAAACACAAGCACTGCTTTAAGCATTTAATGCTTTTTTTTACAAGCACTATCAGTAAGAGCCTACTATCAGGGAAAGCATTTGCTGCTCGTTCAAATAATGCTTTAGATTCTGCAAAATTGCAAATGCATTTGGGAGTTTAAACCGCCCTGGCTGGCCGGCATCGGTTTTCCCCTGGTAAATGATCTGCATTGCCAAAAAAAGAGCCAGACAACAAAAAAAGTTAAAGTAACATTTCTTTTGTCAGTTAGGCCTTTTATGGGCACTGCAGAAGAATTGCGCATGGCCATTGTCATTCTTCCAACTGAAACCACACCACAGCTTTAAACTCAACAGAGCCCTGAGAAGTGTTTTCTTGGTTTGGTAAACATGTAGCAACTTCTGAGAATTCGGCATCAGGCAAACTATTGGTGTTTGAATTGTTTTAAAACCATAGTGAAACAAGGACATCATGCCTGAACAGCGTGGTGAAAAAATTACAATAGACCTCTTTAAGATCTTTACAGCGCACATGATAGGGGATCAATGAGACAACTTTAATCTCACCCTTCAAAATTCCACACACTAATTGGTTTTGAGGTGCTGCCATGAAAGAAAAAATCCTTTTGATCCCTATGCTATAGCTGCGATGAAGCGACTCCCTGGACAGCTTGCCAACATTACCATTGGTCATTTGCCAAGGGAGATTTCTAGAATAATTCACTTTTTTCTCTTGAAGAGAGGTGTTGTCAGCATCTGTGAAAGTGTTACAGGAACTAATTCAGCAAGATGAGTCAGATGAAGTGGAATAAGGGCATGCCTTGAACTGAAATTTGAGCTGTCCTACTCGTATGTAAACTCCTAGAAGACAGAGAGCTTAAATAAAGGATTTTACAAAGGTCTCTAAATTTCGCATATTTAATTTTCATGCCACCTTTTTTCACAGGACTTTAGTTTCATGAATTTTTTGAAATAGCGAAAATCGTGAAAATTAAATCTTGCAAAATAAGTGATAATATGGTAATTCTTTACTCTTTATCTCTTTTTTATAGGAACTAATGAATGGGTTCATAAAAACCTACAATTTGCTCCAGAGCAGAGAGCTTTGCTTGTTTGGAATTCCTTCCATCTAACCGACAGCGGGGAAGGGCTGCTGACACCAAAAAATTTTGACCTTGCTTTTATCCCCAGCAGCCTTACTCTGGCTCTCCAGGCACCCAACAAATACTTAAACATGCCCTTCAAGACCAGAGATCCAGCACAGTATCAGGACTGGATGGGGAATGGACCCTTCATGTATCTGCCATCAGGAAAGAAGTGGGCACCGAGGAAAGAACTTGTGTTGAAGTGGGTAAACAAACTGTGGCAGAGAATCCTGCAGAGCTGGTCATCAAATCATTCTTGTCCTGCAGTATTTCAAATGCACTTGATGGCACTGAGAATGATGCTGTTTACGAAGAAAAGACTGAAGGTGGAGAAAGTGAGGATGCAGATGACGAATTAGAGATTGAATTTGACACCCGTAGCAAAAGTGAAGATGAGTAGGCAGCAGTCATTAAAATGCCAAAGGTTTTTTTCAGAACCACAATATCTACAAAAGTCAAAGACCAACATTGCATGTCCTTCATATTACCTTAAAATAGAAATAACAAATGCAATCAGAAAACTTTGTTTCCCGAAAATATTCAGCTATAAGACACACTTGAACTTTGGCAGTAATTTTGAACAGAAAACATGACTTTCTCAGAGAACACAGGGTGCCTTATAAACGAAAAACTACAGCAATAAAACTTCGCAGTGTACAGAAACAAAGATATTTAAGCTATTTAATCTCATTTAATTTAAATTTTTAATAAAATTCTAAATCAATCACATTGAACAAGTCAATTCAATCAATTTGAGGACAGGTTATAACAGAATACAAGATTCTTTAAAATAAGCTGCCTTGACTATTTACTTAGTTAAAAAATAAGAGCTAAAAATACCTTCAACTATAACAGAAATAAGATAATTAAGAGAAAAATTGGCAATGAACTTATTATTCCATGCATGATAAACCCAAGTAAAAAAAGAATCCTTAAAAGTTTCTGTATGACCAAAAGGGACATCAAGTGTTAAATAATCAATATTTCTCAAAGGCTTGTTACAGGAGCAAAATGGTACATAGTCAGGAATATCTAAGTCTTGTATATTATTAACACACTTAAAAAAACCCTAAATCATTAATTACCCTACAATATTGTAAAGGTAATAGATTTCACTGACTAACACACTCTCATTCTGTATACCACTTGCCGAGAATGAATCTTGTGGCCCTAGATTGAATTTGTTCTAAGTTGGTAATGTTTCTTTTGGTGTAGGGTGACCATACTACACTAGCATATTCTAAATGTGACCCCATCCAAGTTCTAATGTCAGTAATATCCTTACATGTCCTATAGAGCAAATTAAGCATCATTTAGGCTTTGGAAAAGATAATACCATTATGGTGATTCCAGCTCAAATCATGGTTGATCAAAATGCCCAGATCTTTTTTAATGGGAATGCATTCCAACCTGCAACTCTGCAATGTGCTGTTGGAAAAACTTACTAATTGTGCTCCCAGATAAAACATGAGTCCAGAATAAGGTAAAGAGGACAGAGCACAAACAGATGTGACCACCATGCATGATAGCACCTCTCATGCATCTTCAGTAATGTAGTGCAGTTCTACTGTTTCAGCAAAACATATTTAGATATGAGAACATAGAACATCCTTCTAATCCAAAAAAAGTGCTGAACAATTCCCATGAGACATAATTAATAATTATAACAAAAATTCCACCCAAATGCTTGAGTTGCTCCAGAGATAAATTGGAATTTGTCCAACCCCAAACGGGTTATTATAAACTAAATCTTGTCCAAAATAAGTTATACTTAGTGAATAATTTTTTATTAAAAAAAAAAAAAGCAATATTCACCAGAAATTAAAAAGTGGTAATGCATGATGGTTAATGTAAGAATATTAATATCTGTCCATGTTTATGACCACAAACTTTAAAATTGTATTGTGAACATTTCTTATGTGAAGATCTATTTTACATCAAGTAAGAGCAAATTTGAATTTGAATTGAAAACATCTTTGAATTTGAATTTTTAGCCTATTTTACACATTTGTACCCTATAGATCATCAAATCATTTTCAACTTCAAACAGATCTAGGATTTGAAATCACAGAAAGGAGGAGACTACCTTCGGGCTATTATAACTCCTTGATCTCCATTTCCAGAAACCATTTGACAAGTAGGAAGAAGTATTATGCAAAGAATCATTTTGTTACTCTAGGTGACAGTGCTAGAAAGACCACGAAGAAGGAATTTTGAATAGCGAATAGGATTAGTTTCACTTGATTTATATCACGATTTTTGTATTTATCTAGAATCTCATTTAAACAATATGTGTATTTTACCAGCAACACTAGCTAATTACAATTACAGAATAAGTATCACTGAGATTCACCAGTAGACAAGGACCATTTGCAAGGAAATTTTTCAATCAAACAGGTTTTGTACTTCTTTAAATTTTTTTTCAAAGGATCACAATCTTTTTTAACAAATACATTGTAGAAGCACAATAATTCCTTGTATTGAAATTGAGACAAATAGTATCAAGACTACACAGATTTATTTTTCTAATCAGAATGCTTGTTCAGCCTAATGCAGGCCTTAAAAGAAACTGGCTTGCCATTTTACATACAGCATGCCTTGGGCTGATCTCCTCTTTTGTTTACAACTGTTGTCAAACTCTAACAAGAAGATGTTTGGTTTCTGTGTAAGAATTTTGTTCTTTTGATCAAATTGTCTTTATTGTCTCCCTTTACTTTTTCTAATATTCAGCTTAACTCATTTTGTCCTTTTTATTTTAGGTGCATCTGCTCCAACTGTTTGACCAAGTTCACAATTAAAGCAGAAATATGCCAATGCTGCCAGGAAATCAACCATGGTGGGGAGGTTATGGAGCATGGCAAACAAAAGAAATGCATTACACTTTTTCACAACTTTTAAGATATTTGCCTTTTGCAAGTCTTGGAAGTTGCTGCATTAAGGACTGAGACAAAATCTGGGAAGTCTTACAGAGTAATATTTATTCAAGGATAAAGAACAGAAGTAGAGTAAGTTCAACTCTATGTAAGCAGGCAGGCTTTTAATGTAATGGCATATCTGGTGAGGGAAACTTAAGGATTTATTACTGTGATAATCTTAAACACCATAACTTACATGAACAATGTATCTGTCATACCTTTGGTTATCCATACACGTAGAGTTGTGATGTTTCCATGTGCACAGGCATTGAATAATCTGTTTGGTAGATCTTTGTGCTTGTTAAGCACATGGGAGAGGAAGGCATGAAATGTGACTGATTTCACCTCCTCTAGGTGTTCTTTCGATGATGTGATGGCCCAATAAGTGTCTCACTCAGGCTTTTCTCTGCTTGCCAATGATCTCTCATGTTTTCTCTTTGCTTTATGAGTACTTTCTGGATTTCTAGGAATGATTTGACATGAATTAATAATCCACATGCTGTTTTATTTTTTTGTTTTTCCTTTTTTCCAGGCATGAGACTAAAATAAGGATGTTGTTTTCATGCATAAAAATAAGCACCAAACCTTTAAAACTGATGTAAAATTATGGAGAACCATTTTGGACTACTCTGACCTTATTAACCAAAGATGAAATTGCCAGTGAAAATAAAGCTTACCTCTTCCAATATGCCAATTGTCAAAGAAGTGTTGGACAGCAGGTTTTCATAAGTTTCTGTAGTGTCTTGCACAGTCTTCCCTCATCCACTTTGGGATGGAAGTATGGCAGTCACGTATAATGACTTCATTATCATACTGGTGCCTAGCAGGAAAGTAAAGGCCTTCTGAAATGTGAGGAATTCCATGCTGGAACTGCTACCTGCCTGATTAGCCTGAAAGAGTTGAAGGGAAATACCACTGTAGTTAAATTAAAAGTAATAATGCAATCAAAGTAATAATGCAATGCAACCACAAAAGCCATGTGGAGAGTCAATGCTGGTCTGTCTTTGACTTTTCTTCTCAAATTGAGGGTTTAGGGTTATATGTTGTTTACATTGTGTATCATGCCATAAGAATTAAAAAAAACATTAATATTTTGCCTAAACCGATTGAAATAATTGAAATCAAAAGTTAATAATCAAAATCCAATCGAATTGCAAGGAATATGAATTGTTACACCATTAGTATAGTGTGCAAGATTCAGGTTCTTAGTAGATTAAAGTCACATACCCTATATCATTTTCACACCTTTAACAGAACAGGTGTTGTGTGCCAAAATGGCAGTCTTACCCATGTTAACCATAGGGAGGCAATTTTGCTCTTGAATTTCCTTTAAGGTTTGATCCAACTGCTCTTAGTTGGTGGCAAGTTTGTTCTTCAGCCTGGTCACCTTGGCTTTTAGTTCTTTTCTCATGACCTTGCAAGCTCACATGAAGTAGTTTTTGTTTTTTTCAGTTGTCTAAAAATGGAAAGTATTAGTTTAGATGTACCTAATTCAGGCAACTCTAGATCCTGTGCCTGCTGTGTCATTTTTCCCCTCTACACATCCCCACCCATATGGCCACTTCCTTTACCAGCACCCCCTCATCTGCAACTTCCATTACCTCTGCCAGAACCACCTCAGCCACCTGCATCACCTTTTCTGCCTGAACCCCCTCAATCACCTGCATCACCTCTTCTCCCTGAGCTGTCTAAGACACCTGCATCAACTTCTATGCCTGTGCCCCATCCACATGCAACTGAGCCAACTCAGTAGCCTGCATCCTAATGCTTTCCTGCAGCTCATCATCTGCCCATGCAGCCTGATTTTCCTCTAGCTGAGTAGCTATTGGCTCCATATTTGTATCCTGGCTCTGTTCTGTTATCATCCCATGTATTATCTGTCGGGCAAAAGTTTTTGAAGCAATATCAAATGATTATAACCTTCAACAGAAATTAGACAGTAAGTATTTAATTATTTGCAAAAGAGCACAAGCTCATTAAGGCTCATTCATACCTGTTCCTTGAAAACATATATTGCTTACACCAACTCAAATAAAAACATCCTGTACACATTTATTCATATGTAAGGTCTCTGGCCGCCTTCTATTAATTGAAAAGTAATTCGCGTCTCAAAACAAACAACAATTATAAACTTTGATTAACTTGTTACAACAATAACCAATTCCGCAACTAAAGTAATTTGTCCAAGAGGTTTACATGGACACAAGAAAAAATATCAATTTATGTGGTTATTTTTTGATCATACACTAATGCAGAGTCTCACATTTAAGTACAAAAGTTAATTAAGAATGACACAAAAGTTTACATGCTAAGCAACAAAGGCCACAAGGTTCAAACAAAAAAATTACCACCATTCACATCAAACAATACCCATTGAAATAGGGAAATTATCACAAGTATGTCAAGTATGGCTTTTCTTTGAGGATTTATTACCAATATTTTTGGCAACATTCTGAAAGATTCAGACCCTGTATTCTACCAGGCAGAAGAGGACATTCATTTCAAATTTCACATTTATCTTATACTCTTATACTTATACTTTTTCCAAGTTCAAAGTTAGGAGTATGAAGGAGTCTGGTTTTAGTTATTCATTTCCTAAAAAGAAAAAAAAATTCAGATAACAGTCATTGAATGGATTGGAGTTCATGATGCTATTTTCAGTACTTAAAGAGGTAAGCAAGATTTCATGATTCATAGATAGCATGCTGCCATGTGAACCATCTGAGTAGAAGTCACAAGGTACTTTAATCATTCCAAGGTAATATCATAATGATACAAAGAAAATCACTTTAGAATGACCATTTTTGCCAGTGACATATATTTTGCAACCTATCAAAGCATTTTAAATTCTATGTATGTGTGTAAAATTCATATGACTTAGAATCTTTTGTCTAGAGATGTGGGATCATGTTGTATTATTGTAGATTGAAAGATCCTTAGAATTCATCAAAGATATACTTTTGAACCAGAGGAAACAACACCTCCTTCAATGTGAAAACAACATCATCATGGGAACTTTCCACTAGGGAGAGTAGACCTCCAACTTGTAACAAGGATTTTTTTGGTAAAACAGGGTTTTCATTTACCCTTGAAGTAGAAGGGCACTGCCTTGTGAATAGGTAGGTACACTGTAAAATTGAGGGCCGAAGGCCCAAACCTCTAGGGGGATCTGGGGCAAACTTTTAAAAACTTAAGTCTCCCAGAAACGCATTCTTCTGCAATTTGATAAATAAATCTTCCTGGAGTGACGCATACTAATTATAGTAAAAAAATAATGGTACTCTGGGAGAATTTGTTTATTTCACTACACAATTATAGCTACATCAAAACACTGCTGTTGTTGTCAGAACTTCCTTTCTTCTTACAGTTACAAGTTATCTTTAACTTATAAACTGATAAAGAGTGAAACTGACAACACTTTTTGTAGTTTATGAAAACTCAGAGTCAGAGCCGTAATCATTTACGTCAATTCCTTTTGTCACCATATACTACCCAGCAGTTAAACATTTAAAACAAGTATTGATGGAACACAGGAGTCTGATACACAATCAGCCCTTGCTGAAAACAATTTTTACAAAACCTAAAGTACGAAACGAAAAAAAGGAAATCGTCATGAAAAAAATTATCAACCTCAACTAAATATTAACTCTTCCCTGTAAGTTTAAAACCTTTTTTCTGCACTTATTTATCAATTACTTGCCATCACATTGTGGAAATAAAATTTACTCTGACGAGAAAGGCGCTGTGCGATAAAAGGGACCTTAAGCAAACCGCGACGGCAACGAGGACATGGAAAAACGAAAGATATAATGGGCGGCAATTTAAGGTAAACATGGAAAGTTGTGAGCCAGCTGATGAGGAAGAACTGCCTACTTTTTCTTTGGGAATGGAGTTTTTAACTCCCCAAAAAGAACGAAAATTAAAAGAAAACAAAGAACAAGCACTGCTGGTGTCTTACCCGTTTCGCAAACCATCGGGTTGAAAATGTTATAAAACAATTGGTTCGTACGTCACTGTGCGTCCATCAAGATATGAAGCATGAATGAACGTGGGAATTTTGGAGAGCACGAAAGATGCATAAGAGTTGCTCAGAGCTCAGAAATGTACAAACGCACATGCTGAGCTATTGTTCTGCCCATTATATCTTTCGTTTTTCCATGTCCTCGTTGCCGTCGCCGTCGTGGTTTGATTAAGGTCCCTCTTAACGCGCAGAGCCTTCTCGTCAGAGTAAATTTTATTTCTACAATGTGATGGCAAGTAATTGATAAATAAGTGCAGAAAAAATGTTTCAAACTTACAGGGAAGAGTTAATATTTAGTTGAGGTTGATAATTTTTTTCATAACGATTTCCTTTTTTTCATTTCGTACTTTAAGTAGCCTGGTACTTTGTTCAAAGTAAACGGGTGCCGGTACCCGGGACCCGGCTCCTAATAAAGACCCAGGTAAAAATAACTTTTTGTTGTTGTAGTTGAAATATGACTGACTAATCTATATGAAGAGATGGGTGTGAGAACCCATTTAAATTTACCATTCCCTTATGCACTATTGACAGACATCGCAGACACAAAACCAAAAGACAAAAATGGGGTCCATTCCCCTAAACAGGGTATATTCCACTCTTGATTGCTGGAAGTAAAGCCATCATGACAGGTGCTGCGTGGAGTGAAATCATGACAACCATAAAAGGGAAAAAACTAAAGAGGTAATCACTGTAGCCAAATTCATTCTCTTGTGCACATCAAGATCAAACAAAGAGAAAACTAACCCATTGATGTAACAAAGCTAGCCCAAAGATTAAAAGGGGTTCTTATACCATTAGCTGCTCTTATTCCAGCTCTCATAGCCAGTGGAGAAGCCATAACAGCCGGAGCCGTGTCAAGAGCCACCTGGGTTGACAATTCTGTTGCACCACAAGTTGAAACTGATGGAAACCTGATGGAAACCTGATGGAAACCATTGAAAGTTACTCCATACTGGTACCTCTAAAGCTCCTGGATCCATATTGATGGGAAGAAACGTTAATTCCGCGTCTTCTATAGCCTTAACAAATAAATTTTTCGCTACTTTCCTTGTAGCTCTTTACCAAATGTTCACCACGGCGCTTTTGGAAATTGTAACCAGGCCTTTTTCTTCAGCCACGCCGAAGCCAACCTTGTTCCCAGGGTCCTCTCCCTTTCTCCTTGGTTCCTTGAAGAAAGTCTACATAGATCACCTTTTAGCACTCGATCTTGGTGATACATGATCGCAGGTCATTAATAGCTCTTATTACTGAGCTAGAATGAAAATACCCGAGTGAAACAACGTCAAATTACGCATAAAAAGTTATAAAATGTACAATATAGTGTAAAAATAGATAAGGCAAAAAGATCTGCCAGTTTTATCGATCTAGCACTTGAAACGCATGTCAAAGTGTTTGAGATAGTTTTGGTATTCATTCGTTACAGAGTGCATTTCTCTCTAATGGAAAAACGAAGAAGTCGTTTTCGATGTGGATTTTTCTCCGGAGAGGAATGAGCTTACTGGTTATGGAAAGTAAACCGAGTTTCATTGTCCATGTTATTGTTGAAATGGTGAAATTTTCTACGAAATCGATATTAGACAAAATCCTAACAAGTTGCTATTTAATTAGACATACATCTTTCTAAAATAGTCTATAAAAAGCAACGTTTCCTTCATCAAATTCTGTGACTATCTGACAAATCAATTCGATTTCCCTGAATTGTGCGTTCGCTATCTGACGCGATTTGAGAAACATAATAGCCTTTTACCCTACAGCATTTTAATAGGAAAAAAATTCGAAGTGTGTCAAACAAGCGATCCTCACCTTCCGAACTAACTCTGGAATGTGAACTTTATTGGTAACCGACACGGTTTGTGAGGTC